ATAGTAAAATTCATCATCATTACATTACCATTATAGTCAAAATGAAACGCCAACAAATTTCTCATGATCTTTTATCAGGAATCTACTTAATATCCAGGACAACTTAGGCCTAATTATAGCTTACTAAGCTTTAACTATATTATATACTATAGTATGATCAACAAATCACAACTTAAACAAACATTTAAAGAAACTTACAAAAGGATAAAAACGAAATTGAACCACAGTATCGCATTTCTATCTTAAAAGACCTGACCTGAGATTTATGGATTTAAGATTTTTTTAAATCACGTTTAGGCCTATGTGTTCTATTAGGCCTATGTATAACGTGTACTGATGCATATTTACATTTGTAGAAGTATTCATTTTGAGTGATCCCAGGAAAGAATTTGTATTGGCTCATAACATTTTAACACTGTGTACAAAGTGGGGGGGGGGGGGGGGTAGCCGCGGCTCCCACGGCTCTCCGGCTCCCACGGCTCTCCACCTGAATACGTCCCTGGTTCTCTTATGGATTATAATCCACCCTCAGAATCGGTGAAAACCTGTGCCCTGGCGATTCCTCGGTAATGTTGTACACTTTTGGTTATCATTGAAGGGCTTTTTTTGTTGCATTTTTCTTTATCCTGAAATGTTTGTTTGTTTTGTTTGTTTATTAATATTTCTCTACATATACATAAATTAGAAGTACTGTAATAATTCATATGGAAAAAAAAGTATGTGGATGGTGGTCAAAATAAGTTAGAAAACAAACTTTAAGATATGACCACCATTAAAAATAATTAATAAATCATTATTAGTACGATGACAGAAATAAAATTAAAAAAAAAAAAAAATATGCAAAATTAAAAATTAAGTTTAAAGTAGTCTGGTTTTTATAAACAAGTAAGAATTAAATATATACAGCCACAAAAAATATGAAAAAAAAAATATATATATATTTATTATATTGATTTATATTTTTATATTTAAACAATTAAATTTAAGAATTTCCCAGAAAACTTTTATAATTTTTATTAATTAATTTTACTGGTTTTTTTTTGTTTTTTTTTGTTTTTTTGTTTTAAATGTAATAAATAAGTATGTAATTTTAAATGTAATAAATAAGTATGTAACCGAAAGGTCCACTGATTAATCTCAGATAAGAAAGTATAATACATACTCCAAGTATTGAAATACACGCCATCGTGTTGGGATTCAATATTTCGACATTAATTATGTCATCATCAGTCATCCTGATGATGACATAATTAATGTCGAAATATTGAATCCCAACACGATGGCGTGTATTTCAATACTTGGAGTATGTATTATACTTTCAAATAAGTATGTGACTTTCACAACCATGTTGCATAATTAACTTCTCTGTCTATACCTGTATGCAAATTCTGTGATGACTGTAATGACAAATTATCTTTACGAAATTCATATCCAAACCACTCATAAAAGCAAGGTAATTTTGTTTACAATGTATCTACTAAGGTGTAAATAATCCTTGTCAAAATGTATAATAGTTGTCTTTCCTCAGCAATATCGGCATAATTATGATAAAGTCATTAACAAAGAATCATCACGCTGCGTTTCAGGATCACTTTATCCGCAACCGATAAACAATTGACGTGTACAGTTGTTTATGATTTGTTTGTGCGTTTCCTTGGAAACCATTATAATTAAGCAAACTGGATTTCATATTTTAGTCTTTGTATTTGTATCTCATCTGACCTTGGACTGGTAACCCCTACGAACTTTTAAGCATATGTATTACAAAATAATACATTGCAAATTCGCTGCACTTAAATGACGTCATACTCATGCGCGCAGATGATATACGTTTAGAATTTCACAACAGAGTTATGATTTACAAGGCAGCCAACCAGTGGCGCGGCTCTAGGATATATTTTCTTGGGGGTAGTGGGGCTAAGTTGTGCGACAGGGGGACTTGAGCTCGGCTCGAGCTGGAGGAAGCTTGACCTGTCCGGTGGGGGGGGGGGCTTAAACCCCCCCCCCGGCGCCGCCACTGCAACCAACATACAATAAATAACGGCAAAGTGCTTTGATCAGGCTTGTGGACTGCAGCTGCAACCTTAAAAAAAAAGTATTGCAAATATGCCGTCTAAAAAACTACGGTCTAGTAGTCCACGCTTTTTATACAGCTATAATATTTATTGCGAAATTAAGAGCTATGCTTTACCTTATCACCATAGATTTGAACACTTTTTATTTAATAGAGGGATTTAGCGATGATTGTTTACAGGCGGTCACGTGACCTAACTGGGGTATACATGAAAAAACATTACAGTGCGATAGCATATATGAAAAGATAATGTTATGGTTGCGAAAACAACCCCCCACTATTAACGTGAGAAGTGCATGGCTTGGAAAGGCAATACGATTGTTTAAAATAGTTTTTAATTACTTATCCTAGCGTTCTCCTTGGATTGTATGCTTTGAAATTTAAGTGATCCTTCATAAACCTTAGCTGGCCCTAACATCGCAGCGTAGTTCGCGGGTCGAAGACCATCATGCATACCTAACCATGCCGTAGATGTGCAGAAGGGGTGGGGGTGGGGGGGGGAGGAGCCTAACATTTGTCGAAAAATCTCAATGTTTGCGGCCAGTATTATTTACAGTATTTAGCAAATCATTAAGGCAAATTATTAAGTTTAATCAATTTGGTATAGTTTTCTGGGAATTATGATGATCTTTACAGCAATAAACAAGGGACGGCCGAGATAGGAATCTCCATGTTTCAGTTGATTGTTTATGTCCAACACCCAAGTTAGGTCATGTGACGCCCATCGCTAAATCCCTCTATTGCGTCTACGTACTCTTATTTCAATAAACCTTTGAATACAGCATTATGCATACATAATAATATATGAGTAAGCCCGAGATGTGACAGGAGAAGCGTCAGTAGGGTGGCCGAGGGACGATGCGGAGGCTGTCAAGGACATGGAACCGCCTCCTTTCCCCCATCCATGAACATGGCGCCATTAAAGATCAAGCTCGTTAAAATCCTGGGCACATAAGGATAACAGTTGGTTTTCAACTGAGTTGTTAACCCAGGTTAAACAAGAAATAATAATAATAAAACAAAAAAAGACCCAAGACACAGCCCGGAACTACTGTACGGTACTGACGTATTTTGCGTAAGGCCTATAATAATACAACCCGGACATGGTTAGGTTAGCGTACGGTATTGTGTTACTTACGTATAAATAAATATTTTGCTATTGATGGAGACAAGGCAAAGCACACTGACTCCCATTTTGACTGTCAACGTTGCCAACTTCAGTGTAGATTCTGAAATTGGGTCCTCTGAATAGGCCCTAACTATCTATTTGAAATATTTTACTGATGTTTTTGTGGTATATATATTTTACAATGTTTGTCCACACTGTCGTTTATATACGTAGGCCTATGTTATAGTGTAGTGAAATGATAATAAATGATATTAATTCGTCCGGTTAATGTTAATAACGCCAATGGGAAAGGGGCATGCACATCTACTTTGCAAACGTTTTATTGGACATTAACCCTGATACCTAAAAATTAGAGGATGACGTATCATGGCGACTTTGAACTAAACTATGTCTATACAATGATATAGTGGGCTGACTGATGGAGAAAGCCCTTGCACTTCTAATGTGTCACCAAGTAGGAGACAGTTTAATGGGTCCACATGGACTCTACGTCAGAAGTGTGTCAAAGTTTTGATAACATTGGATAGTATAAATGAAGACACTCTGAAAGTTTGGATTCATTCATTTATTCGTCTAAAACTTTGTAACTACTGATTTTGATTAAGTCCGTATTCGAAGCAGCAACGGTATGTTGATTTAATCTTATTTTATGTTAACTTTACTTCATTTATATTGATTTAAGTTAATGTTTTAGTTAAGAGTTGGTTTCAAATTTATATACCAATATACTTAATTAAGTATTTGTTTTAAGTGCATTTTTTTAAATAAACAATTTACATAGGCCTATTAGAATATAAATTGAAGCTTCAGCTCAATTATTATTCAATCATAATAAATTCACTATATGTTGTAATGATAGTAAATAATAGTTTATGAATTAGGTCTTTGGGTTGATTTAATTGTTTGCTGAGTATTGTAACTGTATTTTTTTATGTGTAAATTAGGTCCACCATCTCATTATATACAATATTGCAAGTTAAGAGTTGCTTTCAAAGTCATATACCAATATACTCTGGATTAAGTATTTGATTGTTACATTGTTTTAAGTGCAATTAATAGTTTTAATAAACAATTTACATTTTTCTTAGTATTGGAATATAAATTGAAGCCTCAAAGCTCAATTATTATTCAATCATAGCATAGACAACTGATGGCATTACGGAGAACGGTGCAGTGAACTTGGTTCCTCTGCTTGTTCATGGTTTGTCAGAATAGATCAATGGTTTAGTTTTCATTTTTTTTCTCTCTGATGTGTCAGCGCATAGAGACCCCGGTGTTATGCGCTATATAAATCTAATTACATACGTACATACATACATACTTACAAAATCGTTTTTGAATCCCATCGAATCATTTGATTAACGTTTGGATGGCCCTGTTCCTGACAGGTGAACACTACTCGGTGACTGGCCGGACAAAAGATTTGTATAATACGAAAAAGACCCGTTTTTTGAAGAATTTTGAGGTATGCATAGTGACACCAAGTCGTTTGCTAGCTTGCAACATTTAAAACGTGCTGCTGAAATGAATGTTTAGAGTCGGAGATGGTGGTTCCAAGAAGTTGGAAAAAATCAGTGTTAAGTTGTTGATTGCAGAAAATAATGGTGGAGAAGTGGATTAAATGTGCAAGATCTGCTGATGGTCGAACAGGTAGTCTTTAAAGGGTTAAAGACCATACTCCAGTCAGCAGCCCAATGCTGCAGTGAGTTAAGATCTTATTGAATAAAAGCAGTGGCTTCAACGCGATTAGATGCATTGATGTTATGGTATAGTGTGACATCGTCAGCATAAGCAACAATGTCATTCTCAAGATCGGCAGAAATGCGGTACCTTATCAAAGGTAGCACTAAGGTTAACGGAACAATCCGGATGTCCGATATTAAGGTGTTTATGCCAAATGTCGGTGGAAAGGAACAAAGCGTATACAGTTGAGTGTCCGCGGGGTGAAAACCGAACTGACGAGGGTGTAGATGTTGTTTATGATACGCTCCATGACTCGCTACTACTACTACTACTACTACTACTACTAGAAATACTACTACTACTACTACTACTACTACTACTACTACTACTACTACTACTACTACTACTACTACTACTACTACTACTACTACTACTACTACTACTACTACTACTCCTTTCTTTTTGGGATTTATCGATCGATTTATCGAAAAAAAATCGTATGCAACTACTTAATTTTTGTGTAGGCCTATGCATACACACATAAGGCCTATCTACCTTAATAACAATGGGAAAAAAATTACCTAACCGTTTTGAAGAGAGGAAAACCTTGAATTTTGAAGAACTTTTAAAGTCACTAAAAGATACTTCAGAAGTCGGGAAAGCTCATTTCCAACCATTTAGAAATCAACAATTTTCCGAGAAGAACCTGAACCTCCCTTTTCTCTTTGGGTTCACTGATTCATTATAATAATTTTCAAGAGGGAAAAATCTTGAATTTTGAAGAATTTAAAGTAATTGAAAGACACCCCAGAAGTCGGGAAAACTCATTTCTCGCCTTCTAGGAATCAAAATTTTCCCGGGGGAGAACCCCCCTCCTTTTTGGGATTCATCGATTCATGGAAAATTCGCATGCAACTACTCATTTTTTTTTAAAATTTTTATGTATGTATACACACATAAGTCCTATTTACTGAATAACAATGGTAAAAAATTACCTGACCGTTTTCAGGAGAGAAAAACCTTGAATTTTGAAGAACTTAAAAGTAATTAAAAGACACCCCAGAAGTCGGGAAAGCTCATTCCCGCCTTCTAGGAATCGAAATTTCCCCGGGGGAGGACCCCCGGACCCTCCTCCTTTTTGGGATTCATCGATTCATGGAAAATTCGTATGCAACTACTCATTTTTTTTAAATGTTTGTGTATGTATACACTTAAGGCCTATTCACTGAATAACAATGGTAAAAATTACCTGACCGTTTTCAAGAGGGGAAAACCTTCAATTTTGAAGAACTTAAAAGTAATTAAAACATTACGACAATATTTCGTGTATAAATTCGATAAAACGGCAGTGAAGGTCGCCAAAAACCACTAAATTTGGTCATTTTTCAACTTCTTTTTGTAATAACTTCGCAAATACTTCATCGGAAAAACTGACCGGATTTTAATAATCATTACAAAAATTACAAATTTATAAGTGTAATGTTAACACCTATATCGAGAACTTAAAAGACACCCCCAGAAGTCGGGAAAGCTCATTTCTCGCCTTCTAGGAATCAAAATTTTCCCGGGGGAGGACCCCGGACCCCCCCTTTCTTTTTCTGATTCATCGATTCAAGGAAAATTCGTATGCAACTACTCATTTTTTTCAAAATATTATGTGTGTATAGACACATAAGGCCTTTACTGTTATAACAATGGAAACAAATTACCTGACCGTTTTCAAGAGGGGAAAACCTTGAATTTTGAAAAACTTAAAAGTAAAAGCTCATTTTCCGCCATCTAGGATGGACCCCCTTTTCTTTGGAGCTTATCGATTCATTGTAAACAGAATACGATATGCAACTACTCATTTTCTTAAGGTATACACACATAACAGGCCTATTTACTGTAATGAGAAAGTTTACCTTACCGCTTTCAAGAGGGGGAAAACCTTGAATTTTGAAGAACAAAGTCATTAGACACCTAGCTCAAAAGTCGAGAAAGGTCATTTCCAGCCATCTAGAAATCTAATTTTTCCCGGGGAGGAATGTTGACCCCACCACCTAGGTTTGATTCCCGATCTGCATGATTCTTTTTCCCATTCATCTTATAAGTGCCCCCCCCCCCCACTTTGAAAAACGTTCCGCCGGCCC